TGTGGCAGAGACTCAGGGAATCAACAGGGCGGAGCCAACAGCTATGGCTGCTCCTCAGCCTTGCCCTAAGAGGTCCTGGGTCTCAGTGTCCCGGTAAGCGCTGCAAGCACCTTTGAGAGAAAGCCGCCCTTGAGTTCCGACCGATGCCAGACAGTTCAGTTTCTCCCCATATGAGTCTGGGTCTCCAGAGACTCGCCCAGAACTGGAGTTCAGAGCAGTCAGGAGCTTGAGACTCCCTCCCGATTGAAAAAGACAACCGCATCCTGAGCTGCCAGCCCTTTCCACCTGTGCCTCCGTACCTCAGCACTTTATTTCACACACTCCTCTGATGTCTCCCTCACATTCCTGTCCCAGTGCCAGACAGTCCAGTTTCTCTCCGTATGAGTCTGGGTCCCCAGAGACTCGCCCAGAACTGGAGTTCAGAGCAGTCAGGAGCTTGAGACTCCCTCCCGATTGAAAAAGACAACCGCATCCTGAGCTGCCAGCCCTTTCCACCTGTGCCTCCGTACCTCAGCACTTTACTTCCACACCTCCTCTGAGTCTCAGTGTGCTTTTCTCTTTCATTCTAGTTGTAGAATTTCCACTCAGCCAGCCTTCCTGTGGTTCTGGATGATGTCCGTTTTGTCTTTTAGTTGTATTTTTGAAGTGGTTGTGGGAGGCAGCAATCTCCGGTGTTTACCTATGCCACCATCTTGGTTTCTTGAGGTGAAGAGAATTCTCATGAATTCGGCACAGATTCTATATTAGACATCGAACTAAACATGTTACTCATAACATTTAACTTACTCTTTTTGTTCATTGTTACATTTTAATCTTTCATCAGTACTTAGCATAGTAGTTCTTAAAATATTATAGGAAAAAATACTCCTTATATACCAAGGTTAGATTAGAGTTTCACCTCCCTGTCATCATTGCCCTTAACATTTTTGTCTATGTCCCCAGTTGCTAACATTTGGAATTTTTATTTCCTCTTTCACCCAGATTGTTCCTGCTTTTCTGTTTAGTTTACTAGCCAGCCAAATGGATGGCTGACTGACATCTTTTAGACTTAGCCAAGGTCCAGCCCTAGCCAGTCTCCTTTCATGGGGGAGGAAAACCTCTTTTGGGAGTTATTAAAATTAGTATACTTACCTCAGGCTATGGGCTCCTTAGCATCCCATGTCCAGGTTTTCCTATTTTTGCTCCCCACCCCACAATTCTGGAGGTGTACTGCTAAGTGTTTTTAATCAGTTGCGGGCTATATGACTATACTGAAGGGAACCAACCATTCCTTTCACTGTAATCAGACCTTGAATTGGACTGAAGCCTGGATGTATAATCCTAGAGATGGAAAGAACACCCTAGTCCCGTGATGGCGAACCTATGACACGCAGACTCATTTTTTTGGTTGATTTTTCTTTGTTAAATGGCATTTAAATATATAAAATAAATATCAAAAATATGTCTTTGTTTTACTATGGTTGCAAATATCAAAAATTTGTAGATGTGACACGGCACCAGAGTTAAGTTAGGGTTTTTCAAAATGCTGACACGCCGAGCTCAAAAGGTTCGCCATCACTGCCCTAGTCTTAGTACTATGAGCTGTAGAAGACTGAAATTTGCTTCTTTCAACTGTTTGGAATCAGTAGTTAAGTCAGAAACTTAGCATATGTACCAGACTTCTACACCATTCATTCCTCACTTTTTTTAGTTACCAAGTCTTCTTAAATGTTCTCAAAACTCTTTCTACTCTTCCCTATTGCTATATCATAGTTCAGTTATGTCCTCACAGTCTCAGGGTATACTTGAATAAGGGTCACCTGACTCCTCTCCCTATCTTCTAATTTACTCTTTACTACCTGTGAAGGATTGTTCTTTAGCATTCAGATTTGTAAAAGGCAGCAGCTCATCAATGTTAGGCAATTTGTTAGTACTGGCTCTGGAATTTGAATCCAGGAATATAAATACAATGTCTTACTGCTTTCCCCTGTTACTACAACTGTATAAATTCTCTGCACATATAGGGTGTAAGTTGGAAAGTCCAGGGAGAGTAGCATGCATGCATTGTTTGGTTGTTTAGATGAAGTTATAGGTGTGTTGTAATATTAAATTAAAAAGATGTGGATAAACTAAATGTGTGTCATAAGGGAGAAGAATAGGTGAGTGGGGGGTAAAAGAAGCCAAAGTTAAGAAATAGTTATACACTCAAAACTCAGATTAACTGATGAAGAGGAGGTAAAATTGAGAGAAATTATGGATAGATTGTGGGAGACTAGAAATCAGAGAGAAAGAATAGCGCAAAACTTTTGGCTCTAGCCAGTGTTGGAGAATTGACCGTCTTGGTTGTGTTAGGTAGCATTTCTCAGATGTGGGTAAACAGAAAAATCCCCTTGGGTTTTAGCAGTTTGGTTAAATTTTTATTAGTATTGGAAATCTATTTTGTTCTTTCATTTTTTTCTCCCAAAAATAGTTTTTTTAAAAAAGAAAAAGAAAATTGAAGTCTAGTCTGGTCTTCCTAACTTCAGAGGAAATTGAGTTTTTTATATCATTCTTTAGGACAGGTAGGAAGAATAAAGTGGAGATAGAACCTGCTAAGCAGGGAAAATGAGTAACCAAGAGAGTAGAGGACAGAGAAGTATGTATTAAATTTCTCATGCCCAGAGTGTTTCCTTATAGAGGAAATACATTTGTATACAAAAGAAACTTAGAGTTTTATCTGTAGATGTTTACCCTTCTGCTGTGTAACCTCTTTTTTGTAGATTGAAGAATGTGTGGTATGCTCAGACAAGAAAGCAGCTGTTCTTTTTCAACCATGTGGACACATGTGTGCTTGTGAGAGTAAGTAGCCTATTGTAAATATGTCTCTCTACTCCGTGTCCAGCACGACTAGAGAGCAGTCTGGTTCCTGAGCAGGGGCAGCTGGGGATTGAGAAAATGAAAGAAAGAGACAGACACAGAGGTAGAAGAAAAAAGGTGGGGCCTGCCAAGACCGGTTTGGCTCAATGGATAGAGTGTCGGCCTGTGGACTGAAAGGCTCCAGGTTCGATTCTGGTCAAGGGCATGTACTTGGGTTGTGGGCACATCCCCAGTGGGGAGTGTGCAGGAGGCAGCTGGTCGATGTTTCTCTCTCATCAATGTTTCTGACTCTCTAGCTCTCTCCCTTCCTCTCTGTAAAAAAAATCAATAAAAATATATTAAAAAAAAAAAAAAGCTGGGGCTAGGTGGGACAGCTGTCCTCTGATTGGGACAGGAACAGAGACAGTGACCCAGAGCTGATACAGTCTGTTTATTTTATCCAGCAAAAAACAGGAAGTTTTACTAAAAGTCAAGACAAAGGCGATTATTTGCATTCTTGGGTGGGCCCGAGTTGTATTCATTCCTGGTGCTTGGCTGGATTTAAATAACAAAACCCACTCCCTGGCACCTGGGCTGAAGGTCAAGCTGACAACACTCCTGCCTTTTGGCAAAACGTGTTTCCAGGACGTGGCTTTGGCTTCAGCTGACAATAATTAAAGACATGCCCATGTGCCTTCCCAGGTGCTCTCTACAGCCTATACAAACTTCCTCAGCCTATAAAAATAGAAAATGAAACACATTTTTTGATAACTTATGAACAACAAAGTTGGTGGGCCTCTAGTACCTTCTATTTCTTTCTTTCAACCAGAATGCCACCTATTTTCCTCCTTGCTCCTGAGCCTTAAAGAATACTAAATATGCTGGGTTCCACTACGTCAAATTTTGATTTTATTTGTTTTAGCACAAAATGATCGCTTCTCACACACAATAGAAACTTATTTCTAAAAATGAATGTTGAAACATTTTGTCTAGTCCAGTGGTTCTCAACCTTCCTAATGCCGCGACCCTTAATACAGTTCCTCATGTTGTGGTGACCCCCAACCATAAAATTATGTTCGCTGCTACTTCATAACTGTAATTTTGCTACTGTTATGAATCGTAATGTAAATATCTGATATGCAGGATGTATTTTCATTGTTACAAATTGAACATAATTAAAGCATAGTGATTAATCACAAAAACAATATGTAATTATATATGTGTTTTCCGATGGTCTTAGGCGACTCCTGTGAAAGGGTCGTTCGACCCCCAAAGGGGTTGCAACCCACAGGTTGACAACCCACAGGTTGAGAACAGCTGGTCTAGTCCTTTCTCACATATAAAATTAGCACATCTTCATTTGTCTTCACCTTAATATTGCTTTTCTTGCATAATTTACCCAATACTGAGCCACCCACAGCAATATTTGGGGTTATAATTTCTGGCCTTCTTAGCCATTCTTAATTTAACCTCTATGTCAAGAGAACTTATAAAAATCTTTTCTTCATGAGGATAATATTAAAGTTTAAGAGATGTTTTAAACTTTGCCTTTATATATCTCCTTTATTCTTTTCAAGTTCATACTTTGTCAGTGTTACTGTTATCTCCCCTTTGCTTTTTACATTTGTCAGTGAAGGATTTTAAACACATTTAATAAATGATACCTTATTTAAATGGGCCCAAGGTAAAAGCATGGTAACTCCTATTATAAAATAGTTCACTTAGTAGGTATTGATTTTTAATATTTCTAACATAATATACAAATTGCATGGTAGATAAATCTCAGTAACCTAGATTTGCTTTTTCATTCTGATAGGCAGTTCAACTAAAGAAAGGATTAAGGCAGTGGTTCTCAACCTTGGCTGCACATTAGAATCACCTGGGAATCTTTTTAAAATCCTGATTTCTGGGCCCCATCCTCCGGAAATTCTGTTTCTTTGTTATGGGGTGGGGCCACAACATTAGTAACAAAGAAACAGAATTTCTGGAGGATGAGGCCCAGAAATCAGGATTTTCAAAAGATCCCCTGGTGATTCTAATGTGCAGCCAAGGTTGAGAACCACTGGATTAAGGTTTTCTACTGTAGCATTCTGCTACAAGTAATTGTTTCTGTTTACCAAAGACTGGTATAATGCCTATGATCAGTGGTCAGAGTGCATGTAGAAAGATAATTCTGTTTTAAGTTATAAGAGCTCAAGCTATTTAAGTTTTCATAGTGCAGAAGTTAGCAAATTTTTTTCTGCAAAAGGTTAAATGATAAATATTTTTGATTTGTGGGCTGTGTAGTTTCTGTTTTCAACTACCCAACTTTGCCATTTTAGTGCCAAAGCAGCCATAGACTATGTTGATGAAAGGGTTGGACTATTTTCCATTAAAACTTTATTTACAAAAATAGTCTACTGGTTGGGTTTGGCCTGCAGGATGTGTTTTATCTCAGTGTTAAAATTATAAGAATGAGCAGAGAAAGGCAACCCTCTTCTTATTCATGTTCTCTTTTTGTAAGAAGTGTCCTGTTGTTATTTTCCAGACTGTGCTAACCTGATGAAAAAGTGTGTGCAGTGTCGGGCAGTGGTTGAGCGAAGACTGCCTTTTATTATGTGTTGTGGAGGTAAAAGTTCAGAAGATACCACTGATGATATCTGTAAGTGGATTTCTTACGCATTATCCATCTTGTTGGGACTTCCCTGAACATATCTTCTCATGTATAGAACACTGTGGTCTTGTAAAACATAAAGTATATGACTCAAATTTACAGAGGAACAGGTAGGGTTTTGCTCTTGTTACATTACTAGAAACCTGAAAATTTTCTAGCTTGCGCTATGATTATAGAACTTTAAACATTAGTCTTTTAAGACACCTTCATCTGTAATATAAAGATTATTATTGTATGCTTGCTTAAAGAAAATTTGCTGTCTATTTTAAAGATGAAGTTTAGTGTATCTTGGGGGATCATCATATTACAAATTATTATTTTTAGTGTACTAAAGTATTAACCTTATTCCTATATCTAGCAGGTTTACCTAGAGTACTTGAGTATTTTATGGAATAATAATAATAATTTGGACAGAGTAACTGTAGATAAACTGAAGAATATTCTAGTGAACAAGTGGAAAGATGAAAAGTAAATTATTTACCTTTAACCTTTTCAATAGTATGTCTATGTAAAAATGTTTTTCATCTTTGCACTACTGTAAGCTGGCTGGTGTCTTTGATTTCTTTGGTCTGTGTACAGATGAGGAAAACATTAGTGTACCAGGGCTTTTGTCTTTATCACCGGTAGAGCAGAATATAATCCCAGGAATAGATTAACTAGAATAAAAGACCAAGAATCTAGAGAGCAGGAAAAGTGAAATAAAAAATGTCCCTCCATTTAGTAGGCCACTGATCATGGCCTTTTTTTCATGGAGTGCCTCATCTCAGATCACTAACAACAAGTAGAGTTGGGAATAAAGGAAAGGTGGCTTGCTGCCAGAATTGTCTAGAATAATTGCTTGTCTTCTTGGGTTTTGTCTTCTTGGGTTCATAGAGTGCAGGAACAGGGAAAGTAAGTATAAAATGTACTTGTGAACTTGTCAAAGGAAGCAAGTAGAGCCTTGAAAAACCCAAAAGTCTGGTTTAGCTGTGTTAAATAAAATCTGATATTAATATGTAAAGCTATTTCTTTTTGAAAATTATAAGTGAGGGAGTATAACATGAATATTACTACTGATTGGTTGTCCACATGTAAAAACAATATTTAAAGAGGATTCTAATAATAGTCTTGGTTTTGTTTTTTTTAAATATATTTTATTGGTTTTTTTACAGAGAGGAAGGGAAAGGATAGAGAGTTAGAAACATCGATGAGAGAGAAACATCGATCAGCTGCCTCCTGCACACCCACTGCTGGGGATGTGCCTGCAACCAAGGTACATGCCCTTGACTGGAATTGAACCTGGGACCCTTGAGTCTGTAGGCTGACGCTCTATCCACTGAGCCAAACCAGTTAGGGCATAGTCTTGTGTTTTTTAATAAAACAGTAATAATTTTAGAAATAAAAAACCATTATTGTGTCAAAACAGTCATAACATTAGATTTTTTTTAATCTCTATTATAGCAAGTGGAAATATCCCAGTGTTACAAAAGGACAAAGATAATACAAATGTCAACGCAGATGTGCAGAAGTTGCAGCAGCAGTTGCAGGACATTAAGGAGCAGGTAATAAGGCTTTCTGCATGGTAAAAATGATTCTGAGAGTGGCATTTCATATTTTTCTATAAAACTACTAGTGTTTCCTATAATAGGAATGGCTCATATTAATGTATCACTTGTAGTATTTGAATATTTACAGCAGGTAAAATCTAGTTGAAAGATTTACAAAATAGGAAACACACAAATGACCATAAGCATGAAAAAATGCTAAACCACATTAGTAATGAATAAAAATTAAAACCACTATGAGGTACCTTTTGCCACTTACCAGACTGTGGGAAAAACTTAGTGTTAAAAACTGTCAATGTGTTTAGGCAGAATATGTAGCAACCATAACTCACAATGCTGGCAGGAATGTCAGTAAAAACACGGGGAAATTTGTCATTTATCTAATAAACTAAACAAAATATGTTTGGGGATGTAAACTTGGAAAGATAATCATTCAGATGGTGTTTAAAATCAAGGGTAGTGGTTTTCTTGCCTGGGATGTCTGGGAGGAGGCATGAAAGAAATTTCTAGAGGACTGATACTCCACTTCTTGATTTAACTATCAATTACATGCATTTTATGAGTTTGTGAACTTTCATTAAACTGTTCACTTATGCCTGGCCGGCGTGTCTCAGTGGTTGAGCATCAACCTATGAACCAGGAAGTCATGGTTCGATTCCCAGTCAAGACACATGCCCAGGTTGTGGGATTGATCCCTGGTGTGGGGCGTGTAGGAGGCAGCCAATCAATGATTCTCTCTCATCATTGATGTTTCTATCTCTCTCTCCCTCTCCTTTCCTTTCTGAAATGAATAAAAATATAATTAAAAAACAAACAAAAAACTGTACATTTATGAGTTGTGTACATTTATGTATAGATGGTATACTTCCAAAATACACACATACACACACATCATAATGAGAAGCAAGGGAAAGATAAATGTAAAATTCAGAATAGTTATCAGTGAGGAGTAGATAGAAAGGATTAGGGAGGATGTGTGGAAGGGCTTCAAAATAAAAGGTAGTCTTTTATGTTTTAAACTGCATGGTGGTCATACTGTTCTTTATATGTTACTAGAGTCCTGCAAGAGTAGGCCTTTGCAGCCCTGGCTGCCTTGGCCCTCGCAGCCCCGCCTTTGTCCGGAAGGTAGTCTGGAAGGACAGTCGTTCTGCTGTTCAGCCTTTGGGTCGATTTGCATATTATGCTTTTATTATTATAGATACATACAAACAGAAATGCTCTTATATCTACCCAATATTTAATGAAAGCAACAATAAAATAAGAAAAGAATAGCTAAAACTTGTAGGGATAGGTAAGAAAGTCTTTCTCCTCCCCAACCTTGCTATTTGATCCAGCAATTACATCTGATTTAATTCAAAGGATTGAGCTATTATTTCTTTAGATAAATACATCAGTGTTGCCATGCAATTGTTAGAGTTAGCACTTGTCTTTTCTGTCTGAATTTGTAAGAATATAACATAGTTAATAGATAGTAACCCAGGATAACTAATGACCCTTGTGATAACTAATTTAGAACTAACTGTATATGTTTATTAGGAATTAAAACACCCATCTGAAAAGATGAAAACTCTATGATTGGGTCAATTTTTCTTCTGAAATCCAACACCTAGTAATACTTGTTATATAGTAGCAAGTAAAGATAAATATGGATTTATAAGTTCTTAATGTAAGAATATTAAAGTAGGAACATATTTAGCTCATTCTAGTATAAAATAAAATGATTTAAAATTTTTAAAGCTCCTTAGAATCTCAGTTCTTTTTCCTTAGACACTTAAAACTGATCTTTGAATACACCTTCTGGGAAAAAGCATTTTATCTCCCAACTAGTGGCACGGTGCACGAAATTCGTGCATGGGGGAAAGGGGTGTTCCTCAGCCCGGCCTGCACCCTCTTCAATCTGGGACCCTTCAAAGGATGTCGTACTGCTGGTTTACAGGGATTGGGCCTAAACCGGCAGTCGGATATCCCTCTCACAATCTGGGACTGCTGGCTCCTAACCGCTCACCTGCCTGATTGCCCCTAACCACTCTGCCTGACTGCCTGATTACCCCTAACTGCTCACTTGCCTGTCTGATTGCCCCTAACTGCCTCTGCCTGCCTGCCTGATCACCCCTTGAGCGGAGCTCACAGCTGGCCAGGGCGGGCGGGAAGCTTGGCTTCCTCCATCGCCGGGGGCAACCCAAGCCTCCTGTTCGCTCCAGCTCCGGGGCTGCCGCCATCTTGGTTGGTTTTATTTGCATACTTGCTCCTGATTGGCCGGTGGGCGTGGCTTGTGGGTGTAGCGGAGGTATGGTCAATTTGCATGTTTCTCTTATTAGATAAGATTGTGAATTAAAATTCTTTTTATAATAAACTAGAGGCCCGGTGCATGAAATTCATGCATGGGTAGGGTCGCTAGGCCTGGCCTGCAGTCAGAGCCGATCTTCCCCACCTCCCAGCAGTCGGCCCCACCCCCTGCCACCTCTGCCAGTTGCCCTCTGTGTGTGGGGTGACCGGCGGGGCGATTGGGGCCCTGGCACCACCCATGTTCACTGCCACCCACCCTCGGTTCCCCATTTCCCATCAGGCGATCAGAGCCTACCGGCCGGGGGGAGGTACCAAGAGGTTGGCCAGCAGGCACCGATCAAGTAATCTGGGCCTGCGGGCTGGGGGCAGCTCCTGCATTGAGCATCTGCCCCCTGGGAGTCAATGCACGTCATAGCCAACCAGTTGTTCCGCTGTCCAGTTGATTTGCATATTACGCTTTTATATATATAGATAATGACACCGTATATGGATCCTAAAAGAATAACTCAGCTCTACCTTTATCCGAAGTTTACCATTGAAAGAAGTTTCCTCCTTAAGTTATCTTTATTACCATGTTTCATCATTAAAGTATTTAAACACTAAGACACAATTCATTTTCTGAGGAATTGATGGGATTTTTTTTTCAGGGCCTCTTCAGGGCTACCAAGAGAAAGCATCTGAATAACTCTCTCCTCTTTTATTTTAAATCTTCACTAGCAGCCATATGGAGATTGGGCATATAGAAAAAGGTTGACCGGCCACAAATTCTCCTGCTGGGCATTCAATTAAAAATAATTTTTTTTAAGTTAAAAAAAATTCTAAGCAACAAAACATTACTTAACTAAAACAAAAGAAAATGATGTTACAGAGTTGTCACATGCTACACTTTCAAAATATAAAATGTCTCAGCATTTATTATTTTATTTATTATCTCCCATCCAGACAATGTGCCCAGTGTGTTTGGATCGTCTAAAGAATATGATTTTCCTCTGTGGCCATGGAACGTGCCAACTCTGTGGAGACCGAATGAGTGAATGTCCAATCTGTCGCAAGGCTATTGAACGAAGGATTCTTTTGTATTAACAAGAAACTCAGTGTGTTTTGTTAGCTAAGGTATTTGGTCATGAGATCTTAGTAAGCCTTTAAACTAGTTGGAGGTTCTAATGAATTAATTTTGAATATTATAGTTTCTTTACTAGAGTATAATTAAACTGTAAATGCACCAGAACAAAATAACTCTACAAAACAGTGTTTGAAGTCGTGTGTGTTTTTTTGTTTGGTTTTATGTTTTTATTTTAATTTTAATTTTAAACATCAAATCCATGTACTTCATAGATAATTTATTATTGGCTGAGGGGAAAAATCTATGAAGGAGGAAAAATCCTTTAAATATCTTCTGTTATAAATTTGTTAGACCTCAGAAGATACATTTCGTTATAATATGCTATCCTTCGGTTTATCATAATTTGATACAGTGAGATGACACAGGTACTCAGAAAAGTTATGCATCAAATGAAAGGGGCAAGTCAAACTATTCTGTCACATATGGGGAATATTAAAGAGTGAATTTTTTTTTAACATAAAGTTATCCAAATGATTGTTTCTGAATCCTTAGAGCAGTGGTTCTTAACCTTCTGGCCCTTTAAATACAGTTCCTCATGTTGTGGTGACCCCCAACCATAAAATTATTTTCGTTGCTACTTCATAACTGTAATTTTGCTACTGTTATGAATCGTAATGTAAATATCTGATATGCAGGATGGTCTTAGGCGACCCCTGTGAAAGGGTCGTTCGACCCCCAAAGGGGTTGGGACCCACAGGTTGAGAACCGCTGCCTTTGAGTAAATGGAAGCATAGAATGAGAGAATAATGGCTTTGCATTTAGCTTATTTTTCTAGATTTAAAGGGAAAAGGAAACTTGAATCCAGTTGCCAGCATCAAAATGATGGGTAGACATGAAAAGGAAAAATTATAGTGGGGAACTGTAGGGAGGAAAATTATTCAGTCAGAGAGTATCTATTAACTGCTGTTAATGATTGCCTTTCTTATGTTAATTTATACACTGTTCAGTTAGCCTTTAAAAAAATGCCTGTGAAAAGTATACCTCAGTTTTCCTTGTGGTTACTTATCCAGGCTTGATCTGTCCAGTGAAACAATAATACCCTGATTAGTCTCTGAAGTTCGATTCAGCCTTTCTAATATACTCACCAACAGCAATACCCTAGTGATCTGAAAAGGATAATGCATTGCCCAAAGGCAGCAGTTCTTTCTTCTCCATATCTGTTAATTCTGACAGTGATACTGATTCTAGGCCTTGCTTCCATTCTCTCTCAGATAGTGAGGCTTCCTATAAAGAAAAAAGTATCTCTTTATACCTACAGACAAGGACATTATTTAAATTGCCAACAATACCCAAGACACAGTAAATAACCTAAAAATAAATACTTTACAAAGAGTAACTAGGACATTTATAGAAATATGTCCAATTACCCGTAAATTTTTTAAACTTAAACTTTGACTTTAGAGCATCTAATAATTTTCTCTCCTTTCAATGAGTAATCTTATCTAGGATATGTATACACATAAATAAGAGTTTTTGGGTTCATTGCTGCTAAATTATTAAGATACCAGCTGTTTACAATAGTGTCTACTAAATACTGTGTATAAGCTTACTCCTAAGGATAGTTATCTTTTTGGTAGTTTTTTCCCTCTCTGAATCTGATTCTTATGTCATTTTTTTCTGCTACAACAACTGACTTTGAAAGTATAAAGTCTCTAGCCCTCAGAGCATCATGATTCTGACTAATTAATAGCTTCTGCCATTGCAAGTGCTGGAGAAAACAAGGGGTGAGCTTTGCTGGCTGATTTTATAGTCTTGGTAACTCCATATCTGTGTTTAGCTGAGTAACGTCATTCAGAATGGTAAAATTTTTATAAATTTACATTTGAAAATTTATTGACTCTACTCAGTTATCTAAATAAGGGCCACTGAGGCTATTTTCAAGCCATATTTTGAAGTTAAAAAATGATAAAAACATCTGACTGATGATGTTCACCTAATGAGACAAACTATGCTCTTTTAGATTTGAAGACAGTGTAAGTCAGGATTTTCCTTTTCTTCCATGCTCTAGGCCACCCATCTCTTTTCCAGTAGATCCGCTGGTGAGAGGGAACACCTGGCTGACTCACGCATAGTTTGGCCAACCAGAGGATTTTATGGTCTAGAGCTCTATTTAAATCCTTTTTATTTGTCTTCTGAGCTGCAGTGCTAAAACTTACATTCCTAAAAGGCAATTTCATCTTCCAGATTTGTTTATTTCCATCATATTAAAAATATAATAACATAAACTATTACAAAAGGTAGTCACTATAATTATAGTGCTATGCACTTGTGATTTTCTGTATTTGTACCACTTTGAAATTTACTTAACGAATAGAAAATGTTTCTCTACACATTTTCAACCACCTGAAAAATTATTTTAAATTTATTTGGGGATCGTGAGAGAGAATAGGAACTTACGTGACTTTCCTCTAACTGTGAAACTGCTACCTCTTATTATATATGTCGCTTAGCAGTACTTTCCCAGTTAGGTGCGTTTCCTTCTCATTACCATCTCTTCGTCTTACACCTCAAAGAGTTTTTACTTTTACTGGAATCATTTAAAACAAAACAAAACTAATATCCATTCATTAAAAAATATATTGGGCTTCAGGGGCTAGATAAACAACATTGAAAAAAATGGTCAGCCCCTTAGCACATACAGAATTTATCATGCAGTCATATATTTGAAGTAATCTATAGACAAAGAGGGATCCAAAGGTATTGATAGCATTTCCTAATGTTTTATAAGAGTTATCAAGTAGTATTGGGATTCTCTCTACCCCCTCACTCCTACATTTTCTCTTATTCTTCTAAGATTGTCAGCTTTGTTACCCAAAACATACAACTTACCAGATGGTGGTGCTATTCCAATTGTTTTTCTTCACATAATTTAACATTGTTACTGCTTATACTATACTATAAACATACTTAATTTTGTTAGGAGCAAGATCATTTTTCAAGAAAAGATCATTTTGTGTTAGCATAGGAATATATTAGACAAGTGTTTAGTTTAGCTGGCCAAATTATGCTTGGTTATTAATTTTAAACATTGCAAATTGGCCAGCTAGCTACTGAGACATAAAATTAATTGATAATGTTGAAAATAATTCTTAAATTTATGTATTTGATGGCTTTAGCCTGTAAGACTATTCTAGCATATTGAAATGCATGTTGTTTAAGATTTATCTAATTCAAATTTCAAAGCTTGCTTCATTTTTACATGATAGAAATATACTCTAGTCTGGGTTGCCCAATTGCCGCTTTTGTTATCAATTTTGGACCCCTTTGAACTAGGAATTAGTTAAATTTATGAACTACGAGACTTAGTGATGGGGTAGGATAGGGAAAACAGTAGGGTGTTGCCAAAGTAAAAAAGAAATGTCAAGTGTTTGAATTAGAGGGAAAAGGGGATCATGTAGATTTTATCAAAGCAGTAAGTGCATTTAATTGGATAATAGAAAGGGCCTTTCAACCAGTTTCCAGTGTAGTTTAATTGACAATTGCTTTGGAAATTATAGGCTTTGATACAGCTTGCTTAAAAAAAAATCCAAAAGGAAAAGCACTTATCTTCTCGGAATGTCTAAAGAATTTTATAGTAATAATTTGTGTAAAAATTGAACTTTGGGCCCTGACTGGTTTGGCTAGAGCGTCGGCCTGCGGACTGACTGAAAGGCCCCAGGTTCGATTCCAGTCAAGGGCATGTACCTTGGTTGCGGGCACATCCCCAGGGTCGGGTGTGCAGGAGGCAGCTGATCGATGTTGCTCTCTCATCGATGTTTCTAACTCTCTATCCCTCTCCCTTCCTCTGTGTAAAAAATCAATAAAATATATTTAAAAGAAAAAAGATCTCTTACACTCCTCTTTGAAAAAAAAAATTGAACTTTGGAATAGAAGTTTTTGCATTTCTTTTATGATAAAACATAACATGAAATTTACCATCTTAACCATTTTCTAGTGTACAGTTCACTAGTGTTAAGTAAATTCAGATTGTTGTGAAACAGTCACATCTTGAAAAAGTGACACTCTATACCCATTAAACCACAAACTCCTTCTCCTCCCCCAACAGGAGTAGAATTTTGATTAAATATAAAAATAAATGCCTGAATTATCTTAATTGTTATTGTTTGCAAGATCTAAAGTCGTGGTAAACATCAAGTTTCTAAAATTTGGGGGATGACAGAACTTCTTCGCCCACCCCTACAATTATCATCAGTCATAATTGAGTAGGTTTTAAAAGTCTGTTAATTGGAAGGGTTTGTGAGTTCATTTTGAACCAGAGGAAAGAAACACATTTTAAACATTAGAATTAGTTAAGCTTTGAACTTGTACTAAATTGGGAAGGTAAAAGATTTTCACAATTATGTGTGCCTTGTTGAAAAATGTAAGTTGTCTTTAAGTCTACACGTAACTGTTTCAAATATATTTTTTTTCTCTAAAAAAGCAATTTTATTTGCTTGACTATTATGATAGGAATGCTTACTGATATTACTTGGTAGTCATATATAGCCTTGGAACTTTAACATAGATATAAAACTATAATAGTATTAGTAATTACAGTTGTACTTCTTTAAAACATTAAATTTGAGGAAAAACTATTCAGTGCTGTCTCATGTGTACATTGCTTTGCTACAGTGAGGGGGACTCCTTTAGATTGAGCCTCAGTTTACTGAAAAATGGTTAACAGTGGGTGAAATGAGTATTAAAATATGAACTAGATGGTGGAGGTGCTGAGTTAAAATTGTAAGTTGCTACATTAGCATTTTCTACCTCCTTTTCTATCAGAATATTATTTTTTCCAGCATTTATTCATATTTGTGATTAAGGAGGAGATGGAAACCCGAGGTTAAAATTGAAATTTTTAGTTGAGGATTTAAGCAACAGGTACAGGAAAGGTGACTTGCCACATCAATTTGGTACCTAAATCCATAACTACAAGTTGAATTGACATGTATAAAATGTGTAAGAAAGATAATACTGCCAATAGCTTACTTTTCGTTATAGTCTATTTGATTTTGTTTCATAAACATGACTTCTTTCCTCCAAAAAGCAAAACAAAACTTGTAATTTTCTATAAAGTAAATAAATGTGCCATTTTGGCTGAAATCTATAATTTCAGGAAGCTATTGAAAGTTCTGACTCAGGGCTTT